AACAAGATGGCGCTCCACCTCACTACTCAAACCAAGTGAGAACTTACCTTCAAGAGCATTTTCTGATGAGAGAGTCACTGCTCGTGGATTTCCAAACTTTTGGCCCACAGGATCACCCGATCTCACACCTCCGGATTATTGGTTTTGGGGGATGATCAAGGCTCGCGTATATCAAGAAAATAAACCGAAGAATTTGATGGAATTAAGAGTAAGAATTGAAGAGGAGTGTGCACGAGTGACGCCTGAAGAAGTTGAACATGCTGTGTCTCACATCTCATACCGCCTCCAACTTGTTTTAGGAAAAAGGGGCAATTTTTTTCAACATTTTTGTAATGTCAATTTATTCGCAATAAACCTCCATGACGATTGTATGTCCACATAAAAAATAATAAACGTTTAAATTAATATTAAAGTTTTATATAGGGTATTATTTTTTGCGTGTATTATGAGACACCCTGTATTTGTATTCATCGTTATCAGGGACATCAACAGTTAAGTTGACATTGATGCCCCACTGCCGTACAGCTATAATCTTTATTTAGCAATCTCCAAAGCTTTGAAGATGGATGGACAAGCGATCTGGTGCTAACCTATGAAACACGCAGTCAGCAAAACTGAAAGAAACTGACATTCGGAACGTTACTAACAGAGTTTAGTGGCTAGTTCTTGCAGCGACTCCAGTCAAGCACAGAGTCACGTAGATCCCATCCTAGAAGGCGGACAGTGCGAACAGTACTCAGGATTTTCGTAACCTCCCTTCTGTCAAGTCAAGCGTTGTTCATCTCGCAGGTTACGTCAGTCTGAAGGAGGTAGAGAGAGCAATACCGGTCTCGGTGGACGATCAATGGACACAACCGTTCTACCAAAGTTGATGGTGCGACCGATACGCTTACCATACAGCTAATCACTCCGTTACGCCCAAGTCATCTGATAGAACCAGCATCTTTAAAACGGCGGTAGTCAAAAGCTTGGGGACACTTCAGATGATTTGCCGGCAGAGGCCGTGTCGCGCGGCAACAAATTAGCCCGATAAGCACGATTCTTGGTGTTTTTTTTGACGCCACAAGTGACACTAAACTGGCAAAAGTTAGTCTGGTGCGCGAATGCCATATTGTTTCCTGGTCTGACGTTGATCGTGGCCGCTTATTTTGTCGCTTAAATACGGTCTTGTACGAAAACTGCATTTGATGGCTCAAGAAACACAGTCGAATCAGGCCCATGGAGCTATTGATCTTCAGAAATCCCAGTTGCGACACTCGACGACTGTAGGGCTAATCAGTTCGTGGCATACGAATTCTGAGGAACCGCAAACACTTCAACAAGTTTCATACTCGCCAAACAAACTGCCTGTGGGTTCGAACGTTTGCTCAACTCAGGTGGCACTCGAATACGCACTTGAATCCCCCAGATCTCAGGCGACTTTGTGTGTCAGGCTCCGCTACGTCCGTCGTATGTAGATAGCAACACGCACACCGCTGGAATTACCCATGGCGGTTACGGCAAG